CCCCTACTCACTGTGGTCTGGTAGCCAGCCACCCTACCCGGCGGCCCTCATGTTACTGCAGTACCTGTTGCAGCCAGCCTCGGCCTGAAGCCAGAGCCCACCCACAACCTGTCCTCCTCTCTCCAGTTCCCCATGTGATTATGGCTCTTGCAGCCAGGCCAGAGCCCATCCACTGGCCGCCCGTGGCCCCAACAGATGCCACCACCTGCCTGCAGTACTTCGCCCTTATTGAAGACTTACCCAGCAGTAGTAGACACAGAACAAAATCAAAGGTGTCCAGATTGCAAAGAAATAAAACACTCTCTGTTTATAGATGATATGATTCTGATGCACCATACCCCAAAGACATGACAAAACTATCACTGTAACTAATTGAAAAAGTTGGCGGTACGGACACATGATCAATACAACAAAATTCACAGGACTTCTGTAGACTAAGGAGGAGACTCTGAAAAGGAGAGTAAGGAAACACTCACAATGGGCTCTAAACGATAGGAGACTTAGCAACAAACCTAGACAGAGAAACAAGACTTCTACACAGAAAACAGACAGCTCTCCTGTAAGACACCCAAAGAGTGGTATAGAAATGAAAGAAGGCTCCATGTACACGGATAGAAAGGCTCAATATTGTTGGATAGAAAGACTCAATATTGTGAACATGTGGGTCCTGCTGAAAGCAGTCTCTAATTTAGTGCAATTGTGTTCCAGATCAAAGCATCATTCTTCATAGAAATGGAAAAACTAACTACATTGAAAAGAAATAACTCCAGGAGAAGCATAGCACTGCTAAAGAAGAAGAAGAAAACGGAAAACTCTCACCTCCTGTCTTCAAAAATTATTACAAGTCACCAGTCAAAACAGCCTGTTACTGTGACAATGATACGCTTGTAGACCGCTGATGCACTCACAGACTTTACAAAGGGCCAAACCACACTACACGGAGAAGTAATCTTCATTCAGCAAACGGTGCTAGCAAAATGTAGCTCCCTTCGCAAAAAGGAAAAAGAAAGAAAGAAATCTACAAGAGACATCTCTCACACGACATACAAAAACAAGACAAATTAAAGATCTAAATGTAAACTCTTCAACTAAAAGATCATCATTAGGCAAAAGCATCGTGCAGAGTCCTAGCTCCTGGGTCTGCCAAATTTGTCTTGTCTTTCCGGACCCGAGGCCAAAGCTGCAGACATGCTGCGCCGGATTCTCGGTCAGGCCAAGAACCACCCGAGTTTGATCCCTCTCTCTCAGTGTTTATTAGAGCTGGAGGTACTGGAGCTGGACTGTATATCTTGCGTCTGGCATTGTTTAATCCAGATGTCAGTTGGGACAGAAAGAACAACCCAGAACCATGCAATAAACTTGGTCCCAATGACCAGTATAAGTTCTTCTCTGTGAACACGGATTTCAGCAAGCTGAAGAAAGAAGGCCCTGACTTCTGAATGAAATGTTTCCCATAAAGCTGCTTAGAATGAAGGTGTTCCAGTTATCCGCACAATTTTCCACATAACCAGGATGTGGTTATTTCCTAAATGCACAAAATCATGTTGGTGTGTCGTGTTGGGGTTTACACTGAATAATAAACATGTGAAACTTGAAAAAAAAAGAGATCATTGTTAAAAAAATAAAAAGAGGGTCAGACAAAAATGAAGACCCAAATCCAAGGCATCAGTACAACAGGAAAAATAACAACAACAATAATAACAAAAAACCATATACAAACAAGAAGAGAGTTAGAGAGCTGGGATTTCCTACAATATGAAATGTGTGTACAAGACTTTCATCAGAAGCTCTGAAAGGAACCCACAGACTGGGGAAAGCTTTTTAGGCAGGACGTATCAGAAAAAGGACTAATCTCAAAATCTAGAGAAACGTGCAATACCTCAAGAAGAAAAAGGCACAAGATCTTTGGGAAGAAGACACAGATATTGTGGTTGTTCAATGCCCTTGACTCGGCTCCAAGTGACAGTGAGCCAATGCACACAAGCAGGAAACACGGCGCAGTCCTGCTCCCTCCTCACAATTGCTCCCATGCCTGAGCTCACTGACGGAGCCACTGTTTCAATCCACCTCGCCTACAGACTCCCTTTTCTGCACCGCCCCTCCACTATCTCAAAGAGGCTGTCCCTCCCCAGAGACCAGTCCCTTCTGAACATATGTCCCATGTAAGGAAGACGAAGTCTTGCCAACATTACCTCTGAGGAGCATTCTGGCCTTAGTTCTTCCAGTACAGACTGATGCGTCCTTTAGCAGTCTATGGCACTCTTGTCTAGCGCCTCAATCCACATGCATCTGTCCCTCTTTGGTTTTCCTCAGTCAATATCCACCTTCAATGCAGAATCCATGGCTTGGGTCAGGCACAACTTAGTCCTCAAAGCAACATCCTTGCTCTTCAATCCTCTAAAGAGGTCTGGTGCAGCAGATTCACCTAATGTAATGCAGCTCTTGACCTCCTGACGGCTGATTCCGTAAGCAGTGATTGCGCATCCAGTGAAGGCAGCATCCATGACACATCGTTTCATCATTTATCATGGAGTTACCTCTTGATCCAGTTGTGAGGATGTTGGTCATCCTTACACTGAGCTGTAATCCATACTGAAGGCTACAATACTTGATTTTCATCCTTAAGGGATTCAAGTCCTCCGCACTTGTAGATAGCAACGTTGTGCCATCTACACACCACAGTCTGTTATTAAGGCTTGCTCCCATCATGATGCCACGCCCCGCTTCATAGAATCGAGCTTCTCTGATGATTTGTTCAGCAGATAGATTGAGTTAGTATGGGAGATACAACCCTGACACAGCTTTTCTGATTCTAAACTGTGCAGGAATCCCTCATTCTGTTGGCACAAGTCCCTCCTGATCATGGAGAAGTTCTGAATGAGCACAGTGAAGTGCTCTGGAATTCCCATGCTTCTCAAGGTGCTGCACGGTTTATTATGGTCCACACGATCCAA